GCGCTCGTCCCGTTCGCCGGCGGCCCTGCGAGCCTACCCTTACCCACAAGCAAGATCCAGAAGGAGAAGCCACACCAGCAGCACATAGTAAAAGCTGCAAAAGGAAGCAGCGTGGGCACCAATGACATGGTAAGGCAAGACCTGGGCAAGATTGAGCAGGACTTCAGAGCCTTGGAGGCCCAAGTAAAGGGAATGGTTGCCCAAGTGTTCTTCTCTGTCTGTCAGTCAGGGATATGGGTGCAGGAAGAACTTGGCACATGATGCAGATCAATACACGGCTTCATGGCTTTGGTTTCTAGGATCTTAGGAAGTCCTTCAATGAATACAGCCTATAGGGGACAGATAGGATCCACCTACCTAGAAGAGGCAGCAGAATCTTCGCCAGCAGATTGGCTGACTTCAAGAATCATGCTTTAAACTAACAAACTTGTGAGTTAGCGTCCAAAATTGTGACAAGTGCAAAGTCCTGCACCTGGGATGACTAAACCAAAGAGACCAGTACAGGCCGGGATCTCTGTGTGGCTGGGGAGAAACCTTGCCAGAAGGGACCTGGGGGTCCTGGTGGACAACCAGCTGAAAAGGAGTCAGCAGTGCACCACTGCAGCAACAAAGGCAAATCGGATCCTGGGCTGCATCTGCAGGGGCATTGCTAGCAGAGACACAGACCTGATCATCCCACTCTACTCGGTCCTTGTCAGGCCACATCTGGAGTACCGTGTCCAGTTCTGGTCCCCACAGTTCAAGAAAGCCATGGACAGACTGGAGAGGGTCCAAAGGAGGGCCATGAAGATGATCAAGGGGCTGGTGAAACTGCCCGATGAGGAAAGACTGAAAGAGTTTGGTCTTTTCTTCCCGGAGAAGAGAAGGCTCAGGGGGGATCTCATCACAGTATTCCAGTACTTAAAGGGTGGCTACAAAGAGGACAGAGGCTCTCTTCTCACAAGGAGATGCACAGAGAAGGCAAGGAGTACAAGTGTACAAGTTGCACCAGGAGGCTTTTTATTGCAATATAAGAAAGAGATTTTTTAGTGAGAACAATCATTCACTGGAAGAACCTCCCCAGGGCCATGGTGAGTCCACATCACTGGAGGTTTTCAAGATGTGATTGGACAGGGTGCGAAATGATCTTACCTAAGCTCCCTTTCCCGTGAAACGTTGGAGCAGAGGATCTTTCGAGGTCCCTTCCAACCTGAGCCAAGCTATGATTCTAGTATTTATTTACAGGGGGTGGGGGAGGAAATAGATAGATATATAGTCTTCTCATTCCCACAGGAAAACATGACTAGTCCCTACAACCACCAAAAAGACACTCCTACTTCTGTAAATCTCACTAGCTGCCTCTGGTTTCCTTTCCAGAAGGTCTAGCTACCCCATGTAAAGGATGCCAGGGCAATGCTACAGAATTGCTTCCTTTGGGGAAAAGCTTTCGAAAGGAAAGGTAAAATCAGGTTATATGGTCCTAGGTAAAAGAGCTGCATTTATAGCATCTAATATAGGTATGACATTAGTCATCAGATTTACTAATGGAACTATATTATACATTCTTGCTGCTTTAAGGTATCAGCACTTTAAAACAAAAAAAAAAAAAAACCACTTTATTTCAAAAATCAACAGGTTTATATCTTATGACTGGCATACTATTAAAGCAATTTAACCAGAATATAATTATCCCATTTATTGTTTCCAATCAGAAAAGCTTATCAAGCTGAAAGCTGAAAACATTTCCTTGAGACTTTCTAAAGGGTTTGTTTCCCTTTGGTTTGTCAGCAGTACTTGACTTCCTTTGGTGTAACAATAATTTAACCAAAATATAACTTACATATTTCCATGTAAGAAAAACATAGTTCATTTGTTACTGTTGTTTTAATTAAAGTTAAATACAGGTCATTAAAATATTCTCATTAGTTTCAAAGTTTATTAAATTCCTCAGCTTCTTGCAAAGGAAGTATCTGGTTTTGTTTTGCATATTCTTTTGTTCACAGAACTTTGAATGAAACATTAGAGGCTTTTAAAAGTGAAAGCACTGTGTATATACTTCAAAAGACAGATGCTTTACAGGATCATAAGCAGTTCAGACATCTCCTTTAGGCTAAATAAAAACCTAAAAGGAGAAACTGCCCTGTATAATATAAAATTCTTATGGTACACACAGCACATAAACAAATCCTAACCTGAACTGTTTTAAAAGCATGCAGGTTCCTTTTGTATCCATTTAAGGAACAAGAATACTGCATAATACAACGGTTGGACAAGATTAGCAATACGGCTTATTTAAATGAAAAAACATGACAAGGTATACCTAGGAGATTAAATGTTGAAAATTTAATTGTGATCAATTTTTAAACAAATTATTAAGAGAAACAATATAAGCTATTTTCCAAAGAAATACTTCTTTAACAAGAAAGCACTTTAAGACGTTCCCACACATCTACATTTTTTAAATTTCTTAACCTTTATTTAATTCTTATTTCTTATCCTTTATTAATTTCTTATCCTTTATCTTTTGAAATCAAAGTAGTACCGCAGCAAAGTAGCAACTAAGCCATGTCCATCCAAACGGCCGGATAATAATCCTTACCTCCGCATATCTTCTAATTCCTCATATTTCAACTATTTATTGAAAATACACATCATCATAAAACAAATTAGAAAACGTGCATGTTCTTCTCAAGGTGAGGGATGTCATCCTAATCATAATCAGGGGTCCGCAACACAGACAGGTTAAGTCCAGCATCTACCCTAGAAGATTGTGTGGGAAAGCCTGTGGCCCCGCATGTTAGAATGAAGAAACCACACAGAGAGATTCTCAGAGAACTGGCTCTGCCGGCCAGGCACAACCCAGACGAACAAACCAAGCAATGGCTACACTGCTGGAGAAAATTAACTCTAACAGCAGATGAAAGAGGACTGTCAGAACGGTAAAAAAGTAGAGAGACAAGAAAGGAGGAGTCCCACAGAGCGATGCAATACACTACAAATACACTAACCCTAACAAGAGAAACGGAGAATACGGGAATCGGAAAGCATTCCCCATCCCTTTCATGTGCATTCATGCTTGAAAGGGGCGGGTAGAGGGGGACAGAAAATAAAGTTCAGGTGCTGAGGAGCGCACATGCTTGTCCTACTCAAAAGTTTCTGTTCCAACTTGTTCCTGAGCTACTTATTTGGAGGATCACTTGGAGCCACTGCTGACTATGACTTGCTAAATGTTTAGTATTTTACAATTCAAAACATGACACAGAAAATCTAACAAACCTTGATGACATTTCAAAGTACTGTTTTTCTACTCCGTTTTGGTGATTACACAGTACTAAAACCAGTAACACAAGGAGCCAAATTAAGATAAACACCATCCTGCAAATTTCTATATTCAAGTTTTTACAACCAGTTCTATTCCATAGTCACACAAGTCCTTTTTGTGCTGACACTAATGCTTATGTTAAAGAATATCAAAGCATGTGCTATGCACAAAAGCAACAAAAAGGACTACCAATATTTGCAACTTAACCCAGGATTTGAAATAAGCCTTGTAATCTGTTTCCAGTGGCAGAATTACTGCACGGAAGAGCTGTATAATAAATGAAATAACCCTCTAGCAGAAAATCACTACCATAGAATCACAGAATGGTTTAGGTTGGAAGGGACCTTGAAGATCACCTTGTTCCAACCCCCCTGCCATGGGCAGGGACATCTCCCACTAGACCAGGTTGCTCAAAGCCCCTGTAGTATTTTAAACATTGTTTAAAAGTGGGGTTTTTTTATTTTTGCTGAACTGTCTTTAAGAAAAACTGACTAATCAGACAGTTAATCATTCTGAGTTTAAGTTAAATCATAATAAGATATCAATGAGATGTGAAAGACGTAAACTGAAAACCAATTTCAAAATCCCAATGGTCTAACACTATTAACCAAAAATAAAGAAAAAAATTCTATGGGTGACGAACTAGCACAGCCAACTCCTATGGAGTTGCATCTTTTGTCCAAGCTTTTCATCTGGGTGCCCATCTAGCTCAGCTGGCTGCTGCCAAACACTGTCAGAACTAAGTTTTCCCTGATTTCCCTTTTGTTTGAGAAGGAAATAAAACTAGTTTATCTCCTCTGAAAATCAATTTTACCATCTTTGAGGCTTTATTCCTCCTTTGAATCTGAAACTGTCCCATGGAGAACAAAGCTTTGCTCCTTCAGAACTTCAGGCTAAAAACCTGCTTATTTCAAATACAAGAAAGCAACGTTCAGGCCCAAACCATGGGCTTTCCTTGACCAAGAAAGATTTTCTAATTTAACAAAACAATGGAAAATACTGCAAAATATTCTTACCTATTTTCTTAGTTCGTTCTTCCCCACGACTGTGCGCAATAATTGGAGAATATATGAAGGGGCTTTTGGTCGACACATTCTGACCAAGTAGACTTTTCATTTTGTGAGGTCGGAGACTGGTCGGGAGGTTCAAGAGCTTCACAGATCTGTTAAGTAAAAATAATTTTATAATATTTTGTTTATTCTATTTTATTTTATAATGGATGGTTCTGTTAAAAATGAACTGATAAATACCAAATGACATTCTGAGTAGGTACTGATTAAAATACCTGAAACGGAAAACATGAAGGAAAAACCTACAGTTCAAAAGAAAGTAACACCAACCCAAGGAAACTAAAGGCAAAGTTTCAGAAAGCTCTCAGAAAACAACTACCAAAGTAAAAACATCTTCAGCAGAAACCAACAAAACCAAAACTAGCCAGATGGGTGATTTGAAATCCAGCTAATTTCCAGGTTAAGTGCAGACTGAACAACAGATACACCACAAGTCCAGCGCAGAAAGGAACCAAATAATTAACTTAAACCCAAACTATACAAGCAGGGAAATCACTGGCCTTCCAATGCTGATGGGAAATTAAAGACTAAATATTGCGCACAAGAACAAGCAATAAATTCATGGATATTCAGTAAAAGTAGCAGCATTATAAAAGCCTGCAAGAATCATACACAGGACATGACAATTTTTTTTTAAGTCCTTTGTGTGAAAAGCTTCAATAATGTACATTTTCTAGCCCTTGGCCCAGCCTGACTGAATTCAAATGAGTTACAATTAAGAATTATAAAATAATTTCACTAGCTACCCAGAAGATCAAAATCTTGTATTTGGAAAAAATGTTGTGTTAATAAAAACCAACCTTGCTTAGAGGGGAAATGAAAGTTATTTTTAAAGAACCCACTTTACTAAGTAAACAGAAGGAAGGATAAAAATGGCACCAACTAAATTTAACGTAGTATAAGGACAACTAAAAGACAACAGTGGTGAAAACGAAAAAAATTCTTTCTTCTTTTAAGTATATTAGTAAGGAAATGAGTTTTAACACAAGTTACAAAAATGGGAATAGCACATCTATTAGACTAGAAAGACAATAAATTCTTCTATTTTGTATTTGAGAAAATACTAGATGATGATTTCATAGTATGCTATAATGGAATACTTTCCAATCCAACATGCTTTTAATATCTGAAGCTTCATCAAATACATAAAAATTCATCAAGGGGCTTTCCAGATTGTACTACTTGTATTTGAAATGTCAAAAAAAAAAAAAATCCCAACATTCCAAAGGCTAAAAGAAAATACGTAAAAATATGATTCTATTTAAAGCACATCAATAACAGACCAAGCATCTAGTTAAAAGACAAGATACACACACGAAAAAGAAAGACTATGAAGAATACCATATTTAAATAAAGGACAGCTAGACATTACATACTAGTTCGCATGAGTGGAATATAAAGATTTTGCCAAGCCAAATCTCTTCTATTGCTTTATAGGTACGGGGGACAAAAAGATGACAGGGCAACTATGTTCCAATTTCACTGTGGCATTTCAACGTTTGACAGTATTTTGATAAAGAATTCTGCATCCAAAATAAGCACCCCACATTAAATGGCTTAAAAACTAGTAGACCATGAAATGCCAACAGTAAATGGAACTCATCATCATCAGTAAATGCGTATGTTTCTAGAGGGCGCTAGCATGGATTGACTCATAAGCTTAGGTTATTCAACATTGATCAAAACCACATTTCCACACTTTTACAATTTATGTGTCAAAAATGAGCATGGTTGAGCTCAAAGAGCTCCGCAGTCCTGCAGCACGACTATTTTCCAACGAGCTCTACAATACACTAGGTCTGCTGTGCGGATGTAACTGGAGGCTTTATATTTAGATGCGACTAATATTTTGTTGGATTACAGGTTTTTATCACTATAGCTTTTATGGAACTTTCAAAAGACAGGAAGGAGGAAGGGAGAGAGGAACACAAACAGCAGTTCTTAATTGTTAAGTAACGTTGATCTTGATTTCCTCATTCAAGGGCAAAAAAGCAGCAACTATTTTCACCACGCCAAGCGCAGCCAGGTCAGGGCAAACCGATAGTGTTAAATGAAGCACCCGGACGGTGAGCAATTTCTTAAAGGTAGACCTAGGAATAACAAGTAAATATAATGTGCCTGCCCCCTTCTTTCAGCACACAAAACATTTTAAGTGAGGCAGAGCCTTTCCCATTCAAGTCCCGGTAATCTGTTGCCAAGGTTTTGACTGGTCTCTATATGCACAACTCCTATAAAATAAAAAAAGGATTCAATCGGCATTTCCTGTATCTTCCAGACTTGAATTTTCTTCGATATTTAGCATGGATAAGAACAACAAAGCGTTATGGAATACACCCAGTACAATCCACCTCCTCTGTGGTTTAAAAGTTAAGCAAAAACCAAAAACCTGAGGCTAATTCAGGATTTAACATGTCACAGCTAAACACAATGCTTTTTTAGCCCAAGGGTGAGACATGTAAGCATCGCATTTCTGCAGCTATTTGGCAGCCAAAGCAGACAGGTGCCATACATGGTCAGATTCAGGAAGGTAGTTCTGGTGTTATACTGTGTAATATTAAGTTTACTCCTAGAACAGAGACATGCAAGAGGCACTAAGTGGCTGACAGCGCTCTTGCTCTCAAAAGAAAGTATTTTGCTTTAAAAATGTTTTTTTCATGGAAGCTTCTGCTCTGACTTCTCTCTACAATCACATAACTCAAGTACTAGAAAGGACTATAAAAATTTGCTTAATTAACTTCAATTTTTTTCATACCATTTAATTTTTCTCTCTTAAAAAAAAAAAAAAAAGGCTAGGTTAAAATTTGCACTAAGTTTGTTGTCTAAAAACTTTCAGGAAAAGAAATCCAGGTCTCCTTCGTGCATTTAGCTGGAAACCTGCCTTCAGAATGTGCTTACCAGGGAACCCATCTAACACAGACACAGTTACCTGAACTTGTCATTGGACATCTTTAAGGTCAATGGAAAATGAGTGAATACAGTCCATGTACTCCAGTAATTCAAATCATTCTAAAGCAGATATCAAAATTAGGTTAGAAAAACCTGGAAGCGACTATCTATGTGTCTTCACTGCAAATATGATCTAGGATAGTCAAATATGACTCGTTTAGCTCTATATGTAGATTTTTTGTGAAATTAAATCAACCCCAAGGTAATCTGATAATAAATTAGTCAAAGAACTTTCCCACTCTAATATGTAGCTTTGGTTCTAACAGTTACGATTTTGGCATCATACGTCCACATTGCCTGTTTGCCAGCAAAGAAGTTGATACCAGCTGCAACTTGGAAGTACACACAGCACCACAGAACAGGCAACACAAAGCAGATATCTGCAAAGTCATCCTAGATGATTTGTCAGTGCTCACTGAATCCACTGAGGGGACAATGCTGGAAGACCTCAGAGAAGATGCATTCTTCCTCCATGCACAGATGTTAAAAGTGGGGTGACGCAGGTGGCTCGTCAGTGCACAGCTTTGTACTTGGTCCAACCAGGAGACAAAACACGGTTTCCAGAAGACCACTGGAAACAGTGTGATAGGACGAGGGGTAACGGCTTCAAACTGGACAAGGGTAGGTTTAGAATAGATATTAGGGAAAAAAAATCATTCTGAGCGTGGTGAGGCACTGGCCCAGGTTGCCCAGAGAAGCTGTGGTTGCCCCATCCCTGGAGATGTTCAAGGCCAGGTTGGACGTGGCTTTGAGCAACCTGGTCTAGTGGGAGGTGTCCCTGCCCATGGCAGGGGGGTTGGAGCTAGATGATCTTTAAGGTCTCTTCCAACCTAAACCATTCTATGATACTATGACCATTCCAATTTGGCGTACAATTCCATCTGACCGGTACAACCATATGGCTCCAGTCAAACCTGCACCTTAAGCAAGCGCCTCCCACACAACAAATTGTTCGTGTGAACAGACCTGTCACGTTAAATGCACTACAATTGGTTAGACAAGGCCTCTCTCTTCAGTAGATGTGAAAAAAGAAGTTGAAGATGGTAGAGAGAACATAGCAAAGACAGTTGTATGATGAAAAATGGTCATAGAGTAAAACATTCATTTTCATTTCAGAGACTAAAAGTAATCTGAAAATAAATAGAATTTTCACTGTTTGGTTGTGCACCTTGTTATCTCTCTGTGATACCAGAATTCTTGTTTCATGAAATGTTTGATGGCATCCCACTGAGAACTCAAATCTCTATGAGAACTTTTTCAATAACTTCTACCATATTTTTTATGAATAGCAATGATCTTTCCTTCAAAAAAACACTCCTTGACAAAGATTTTCTTTTAGCCTGTTCTTTTATTATTGATGCCCAATGGCTGTTTCCTCTCTCTGACTCCCTCTAATGCTTCATGCTAGGCTTTAATCTAAAGAAGGTATTGTTCATTGGACTGATTGCATGATGTGCCTTGGCACACAAGCACAAAAAGGAACATAGATTTAGAATAGACCAGTGAAGGTGCCAGCTTGAAAATGCAGCATCTGAAAAGGAACAGCTACAAAAGGTATCAGTTCCAGCTGAGCTCCAGGCTCCATGGATGGAGACAGCATCCAACTGTGGACCTTCGGTATGATCAGGTATCTAACTTAAATCTCAGCTGTAATTACAAAACACTTTTCTTCGATTGTATCCAAAACTCTTGAGTGACAGTTTTTTTAAAAAAAACCCAACCTCTCTTCTTCTGAAACTAAAGACCACGGAAAGTATTTTCTGCTCAAAGGCTCTATTTCTGCCTAAGAACTTCTCAAAACAATTTGACATTTTGACATTTTTCCATGTTATTGTGAACAACTTATGTAAACTGAGACGACTACATCCTTCCAGTATCCTTTGAAAATTGACAGGTACTGTAGAAAAGTTAAAGATTTTACTTTGGAGTCTTACCTCACAATAGGCAATTTGGTGAACGGAACAGGAGGTAACTTCAAACCATCTGGAAGAGTGATGAATTCCATTGTACCAGGGCATTTTGCTGTGTAGCTTTCCAAGCTCTGTGTCACATCTTTCTTTTCTAGAAAATAAATTTGTTTAAAACAAATTAAAAAACAATTGCAAACTTACATGTAACAAAAGTTTAAGATGAAGTTATAGCCTCAAGTTTGGGGGTTTTTTATTTATTTATATAAAATAACTCTAACGGAATGCCAACTAATGGTTGCATACAATGCTTAGAGGTATGCTCCAGAAGCCTTAACAGATGGATCAAATATAACTATTGTGACCTGTGACCTGAAGTAAGACAGTTTTCTGGACTTTTCAGAACTTTGAAGTGTCAGTCTACACCCGCTCTTTGTTGATTTTTTCATTGTCGAGATAAAAATGTCTACAATTCATCTAGTAAATCTACATATCCAACATAATTAGCATCAAGCATGTTAAGGTTATTAATAATAGCATCGTTATGTGAATAAGCCTTGTTCTGAAACATTAGCTGAAACAATACCAAAGGCAAAGAAGAGAAACAAATTACTTTTGGCGTTACCTTGTGTTAAAACTACCTAATTCTTAAAATAATTGTACTATATTATGTTACTAAATCATAACAACCGGTAAGAAAAATTTTCTTTGGTTTTGCTTAAAAATACAAGAACATTCAAACAAACATATGTTATTTGGGTTATCTTCAGTAACGTATAATTAATGCTTATGAATTTTATCCAACAATTATTTTCAAAGTATATAACTGTGTCTTCAGAAAAAAGATCTATTTGGAAATATATGGCCTGAACACAAAATTATACTTCTCTGATGAAATGGGAATCTGTGAACAGAAATAAGCCTGAGAGCATGCATTTAGAGGAGAGAATGAGATAGCTGAAAAGTCTTAGACCTACTCCATCATCTTTGAAAGGTCATGGGGAACAGGAGAGGTGCCTGAGGACTGGAGAAAGGCTGACATCTCTCCAATCTTCAAAAAAGGAAAGAAGGAGGACCCAGGGAACTACAGACCGGTTAGTCTCACATCGGTCCCTGGGAAGGTAATGGAGCAACTCATTCTGGATGTCCTCTCCAAACACATTGAGGAACAGGGAGTTATTGGAAGTGGTCAACACGGATTTATCAAGGGTAAATCATGTTTGACCAATTTGATGTCCTTCTACAATGAGGTAACTTGTTGGGTGGATGAAGGGAGAGCTGTAGATGTCATCTACCTTGACTTTAGCAAGGCTTTTGACACTGTCTCCCATAATATCCTCATTAGGAAGCTGAGGAAGTGCGGGTTAGATGAGGTGACAGTGAGGTGGATTGAGAGCTGGCTGTGTGATAGGACTCAGAGGGTTGTGATCAGTGGCACGAAGTCTAGTTGGAGGCCTGTAACCAGTGGTGTCCCCCAGGGGTCGATACTTGGTCCAATTTTGTTTAATATATTCATTAATGACCTGGATGAGGGGACAGAGTGTATCCTTAGCAAGTTTGCTGATGATACCAAACTGGGAGGGTTGGCTGACTCTCCAGAGGGCTGCGCTGCCATCCAGCGTGACCTGGACAGGCTGGAGAGCTGGGCAGAGAGGAACCTAATGAGGTTCAACA